AACATGAATCTAACTACGTACGGACTCTCGTCACCTCGTGTGTACGTAGCCCCCCGCAACAAGTTACACATATTAAATATATCACCTAGGGGTTGTTTCCCCCTTACAGAGTTAGACAGGAGACTTACCTCGCTCCGAAGTTCCATAACCGGCTCCAAAGCCCCTCTAACACTTCCAACCGATACCTGTCTCTCCAAGACTAGTCAAACAAATGTGCAAACCAATAAAAATATACTATAATGCTCATAACAATCAATTTAGATAAATTCCCAACTCCGATTGAAAAGTCGATAAAGCAACCCTCGGGCCCACGTGCCAGGATTCTGAAAATTTTCGAAGATGAACATTACCCATAACATTACTAACTCATATATAATTAATTCCTAACTCCATGCTCAAATTCGTGGTCAAAATTCAAAAATCTAAATTTCTAGGTTTTTCTTCAAAAACTCTATAAACCCCACCATTTTTCATGTTAAATCTACTTATGATTCGTATATTTAGCTAAGGAATTGACAGAGATCACTTACCTCTTGATGTTGATGGAAACCCTCTTAAAATATTCTCAAAAATCGCCTATGTCCAAGTGGGAAATGAGCTAAGTCCCGAAATAGAAACCCTTGCACAAGTCGCAGATGTCGCATTTGCGACATCTTATTCACAAATGCGATGGTCACAAATGCAATGGTTGCAATTGCGACAAAAGCATCGCAAATGCGACGCAGAGCCACCCCTGCCAAGGTTGCATATGCGACCAAATTCTTCGCAAATGCGAGTTTGTAAATGCGATTAAAACCTCGCATTTGCGAGACCTGCAACCCAGACCAGAAACCAGCAGAACCAGCAACAACTTTTTCATCCAAATTTGATTCGAAACCACCCCGAAACACACCCGAGGCCCCCGGGACCCCGTCCAATCACATCAACCTGTCCCAAAACATGACACGAATTTGCTCGAGGCCTCAAATCACATCAAACAATGTCAAAACCATGAATCGCACCCCAATTCAAACTTAATGAACTTTAGAACTTCAAACTTCTACATTCGATGCCGAAACCTATCAAATCACGTCCGATTGACCTCAAATTTTGCACACAAGTCACATTCGACCTTACGGACCTTCTCCAACTTCCGGAATCAGAATCCGACCCTGATATCAGAGAGTCCACTCCTGATCAAACTTCCCAAAAACCTTCAAATTTCCAACTTTTGCCAAATGACCCCGAAGTGACCTACGGACCTCCAAATCCATATCCGGAAGTGCTCCTAAGACCAGAATCACCATACTGAGCTATTCCCAGGATAAAAATTCCAAACGGACATCGATAACATTAAAATACACTTCGACCCAAATTTATGAAATTCTTTCAAAATGTCAACTTTCCACAATAGGCTCCAGAACGCTCCCGGGTCATCCAAAACCCGATCCGGACATAAGCCCAAGTCCAAAATATTCATACAAACCTATTGGAACCCTCAAATCCCTATTCCGAGATCGTTTACTCAAAAGTCAAACCTTAGTCAATTCTTCCAACTTAAAGCTTCTGAAATGAGAATTTTCTTTCCAAACCAACTCCGAACTTCCCGAAATTCAATTCCGACCACGCGTACAAGTCATAATACCTGAAGTGAAGCAACTCAAGGCCTCAAATCGGCGCATGACACGCTAGATCTCAAAACGACCGGTCGGGTCGTTACACCTGTGTTGAGTCCCCAAAGTCAAACGCACGTGATGCAAACAAAATATTCCTACTAGGGATCCGGAATGAGGCTATGTTATTCTAAGTTTAAAATTCTGGGGGTGTGTGTTAGACCTGGCTTACCCAAGCGAACAACTCGAGCCGATGTGGGGGCAATGTACCGAGAGCACAAAAGTCTACCCGGCATAGTTGTTGATCCAGCCTCGTTCTATTTGGTATGAGCTCTAATAAAAAAGTGGGCCATGCGTACGTGTGCACCATAGTTTCAGAAGACTCAGAAGGGAGGCGTAAGAAGACATTTTATATAGTTCAAATAATATCAAAGTGCTAAATGAGCGGCAATTAGCACATTAGGCCCACAAACATAGTAATATCAACAATCAAGAAAGCCAAGTATAGATCACATTGAAAAGCTCGAATTTTGAACCCTGAACCAGAGATTCTGGGTTCGTTCCCCAGCAGAGTCGCCAGAGCTGTCACACCTCATTTTTTCGAAGAATCGGGAGTTCTTCCAATTAAAGTGATATCATTCGAAATAGAATTATTTATTTAATTAGAGTCGCCACTTGAAATAATTTTATGGTGTCCCAAGTCACTAGTTTATTTTAAATCCCAAATCGAGGAAATTGATTATGTTTTGAAGTCTGCGAACACAGAAGACCGGGTAAGGAATTATGTTAACCCGGGAGAAGGTTTTAGGCATTCCCGGATTCCATGGTTTTAGCATGGTCGCTTTTAATCATACCTGGCTTAATTAAATGTTTAAGCACGTGTTTTAGAGCCTATGCACATTTTACCTTTTACCGCCTTTAAATTACTTGTTGTTTGTAATTATGGGATTATCTGGAAACGAATCACACGTACGTGTATTCGTTTTGTTTGGTGCGTCAAAAACTATATCGCGCGTTCGTGTACACAATTAATAACACTTTATTATTATCAAGATTGTTTGGTCAAGGTCGCGCGAACGCGTACCTTGATTTATTTTGGGAATCATAATTATGTCACGCGAACATAATCATGATAATAGATTTTAAAGCGTGCCTAAAGCATTCTACGATACTTATGAGTTGTTCTTTGCTACATTTGAGATACTTGTGAAGGCTATAGATTGTGGATATGAATTTGTGGACAAAGTGTTCATTTTAAATAAAGGGAGTTTAGAAGAATTAACTAAATCTGGATTGTTAGAATGTCTAGTGACTGTTAGGTGTTTATCCTTTACGGAAGAATGAGCCGTCTTATGAATAACTAATAGATGTTGAGTCTATTATTGGTAAAGTTTCAAGCAGGCTTAAATTTCGGCCCAGGTCCAGTTTCATAGATTACCCCTCAGTCTCAATTATCTATTATTACCACAATAGCCCATATTTATTGGTGCGGCAATAATTGCAGAGAATTAATCAAATACTTTACCAAGTCAATTTATAACACGAAATCGACTAGTTTATATCCTAAAACATAATAAGCTACATTCGAAGATGAAAAGCACTAATACAATAATTCGAGTTATACAAATAATATCCTAATGATTACAGATGCCCTTAAGCTCTTTTGCTTCAAATTCCAGTCCGCTTTGTCTTAAAGTTTACTGCTCAAACAACTGCTTTTAACATTCAAAACTGTCATTGAAAATCTGTACGCATATGCCTCAAATATATATTTCACACAGTGCTATATACACTAAACCTCCTCATGCTTATTTAATTCAAACTATAACATATACAAGTGGAGCTGATTTGATCAGATAACATGTGATGAATTTCTAAAGAAATGCAAAAGCTAAATTATCACAAACAGGCCGTCGTGTTTCGAATTACTTTGCCGTTTTAGATATTTTTCCCAGATCGATACACAACAACACATTCATTGCACACATAGAATAGTAGAAGTGGAAATTTAGGCAGATTCACAAATTAGACAAAGACTTGATAGATTTTGAATCATTCGGTGAAAACAATACAGGGGTGTAGAGCTTACCTAAATGCAGAAAGACACTAGAGTTTAGCAGCCTTTTGGAGTTTGGCAAAATCAGCAACAAACAGCCATAAATTTGCTCTTTGACAGCTTTATACAAGTCCAGAAAAAGAGAAAGTTGAATTATGAAACTTCAGTAATCAATTCTTCTAAATCTTCTTTAAAACCAGTTTTCCTTTTTGTTTCGGCTTTGTGATTTTCAGATCTGGTTTTCGGATTTTTTTTGAATTCCAAAACTTGTTATTTAGCTTTTCTAATGTGTGATGTGCGTGAGGAGAACGAATAGAAGTGAGAGTGAAGTTGTGTGATATAGAGAAAAACAAGAAAGAGGTGGCGGCTAGGGTTTCGTTTTTGAGGGAGGGATCTAATCTTTGAGAGAATAAGGAATAAAGGGGCGCTTAGGGTTTTCTCTTGGGACGGGGGGGGGGGGGATATGTCTCTCTAGGTTTTAGGGGAGTGGGGTGTTTTAATGAAGAGGGGGTATGTTGGGCCAGGTGGGTCGGGCAGGTGCGATTTTGGGCCGCTGGAATTGGGCCAATTTGGAACAAGAAGCAAAAGACTGTGTTCCTCTTTTATTTGATCTTTCAAAAATAGCCACATTACTACTACTTGAATCTGTTTTGCCAAAACAACCTAATTAGCATTTTAACTAATTAATTAAACTAATTAATTAAAGCTAATGTATATTTTTTGTGTTTTTGTTTTAACCATGCTTGTAACCTATGATTAATTTCTAATGCAATTAACACACTGAAAGATAAAATATTTTTGATGATTTTTATGATTTAAAAAAATATTTCTAAATATGCATGAACACTACAAATAATGCAAAACAAATAAAAGAAAAACTCCTAAATTTCTATTAAAACCATTAAAATTATTTTTGGACTATTTTTAGGAGTAATTTCCATGTGGAGCAAAAACTAGGTGCTCACACCCTCTAAGTGGATGATCTTTAATTTGTGTCTCCGCTTGTCCTATGGACAAATTCAAGTTTAACAAGTGTTGCCCATCGCTTACCCCTTGGCAACACTTTTAACTTTTTACTTGAAATTTTTCTCATGGGGCAAGCGTGGAATAAAATTTAAAGACCATTGCAAAAAGTATATTTTTTGTGGGGATTTTTACACAAATAACTGACCATATTTATTGTTTACTTTTTCTAGCTATGTACATAGATTATGCATTGATTATATACAACTATACATATATAATACATAAATTATACACATATTAGACATTCACTAGCTATTTTTAATTTTAGCGGTTGGATAGTCGGCTATATAGGTTAATTCTTTATTTTTATTTTGAAAGAAGGGGTCTATAATTTCTAACCCAACTCCTTTCACTCCAGCCCATCTTTATCTTTCAAGGGTTGGGCTTTTCAACTGAAGTCCAGTCGGTAAATCTTCTTTGTTCTGTCCATTATCGACTACCGGCGAAACGAAGCTTGTGAACTGCAAAAGAAAGGTTACGACAATCAACGTCTCCGGGAATGAGTGCAGGTGAATTTACTTTTCTGTGTCATTTCTTTAGGGTTTTGCTCTCAATTTTATAAATATAAGTCACGATTGTAGATTCTTTAACTTAAAATAAATCTTAAAGAAGCATAACTTTTTTTTTCTTTAAATAATTTAGATTACGGTTCTGTCTATGTAACTTTTTAAGGTTAAAATATGAAGAAATAAATACAGATGATGTATTAACTGATAGATTAGTCTGGAGGAAGTTGATTATAGATATTCAGTGTTTACTTGATTTAAAATGGAATAATTGTATATAGGGTTGTACAGGAGCTGTTATTTTAACTTTGTGATTTTACTTTGTACTTTAAAACTCATACTTTGACCGCATGAAACAATTTGAGCAAGGTACAATGTTTAGGCAAATGATCAACCATCTATTAGATGATCACCAAACTTTTACCCACAAAGGTTACTTTTATTGTTTCTCCCGTCAGAGGCGAACGAGGATTTCAATGACAGGGTCACACTATCTTTAAATATGTTGCTTACTAGCAACAAATTTCAGCTTACAACACTTTAAAAACATGGTGCTACTTTGTCGAAGTGATTGTTGAAGGGAGGGAGTAGGGTTCATAATTTTCTTTTTGTAGAGAGAGGAGCTAGGTTTTGGAGGGTTTGATTTTGAGGGAGGGACTTGAAAAGAATAACATTAATTAAGTTGATTATTATGTACAACTATTAAACAACAATTGAACTTTAAAAGGATAAAATTTAAATAACAAGTTGACTACTAAGTATAAACAATCATTGAAACCAGTAAAGTAAAAGGAAAACCTAAAAATGCAGGAGTTGGGTTTCGATCCCAAACAACAAGCATGGGTAGGGAGCTTCCGCGGTACACTCAACCAACTTTACTATGCGGCCTTTTGTTATTTTTCGGGGCACCAGTAATATGTTTAAGTGGTCCTCGATGTATATACTTATATACACAAGACATATATACAGTGATTTTGCCGAGGCCAACGGGTTCCTGTGACCCCCTACCTCTAATGTAGGTCAGCCCTTGTCTCCCATGCCATTAGAATATAGCTTGGAACTTGAAAATTAATGGCTTGAGTTCATGGGTACCAGCATTGCATGTTCTTATTTGTACTTCTATGATCTTAACCATAGATATGCAATTGATAATTGTTTTTGCGCTTAGTGTTTGTTTTATGTAATTGGGGAATATTGTACTTTATGACAGAGTGAAATGGCTTTACTCTCACATGCTATTTACTGAATCATGGATAAATAAATTATCCTTGATAAAATGAACAGTTAATTTGCTTTCGTCCTTTTCTGCGTCCTCTCTCTCTTATCTTCTCTTTTTCTGGGTTACCTATTTCCATTTCTCGTATTATACTACGCTAGTTTGTTTGAAGGGGGAGCATTTGGTGGAAATAGAGGACTGAGACCAGTGCCGCCTGAAAAAGGAGTTTTTCCGTTGGACCATATGCATTTATGTGACCTGGTATAATCCTTTCACAGATGTCATAGTTTGTTGGTTTTGGTGTTTCCTTTTTCTCCCGTTCTTCTTTTAAGATAAAACTATAACAGATGGTTGTTGCATATTTATCCTTTGCAAGGTTCATTCTTTCTTCTTACTTACTATTTCTTTTGGTCTATTTAGGAGAAGAAAGAGTACCTCAATTGTCTTAAATCCTCTGGGCATAAATCTGACAACTGTCGACACCTCTCTAAGAAGTACCTGGAGTGCCGTATGGAGAAGTAAGTTCATTGGTATGATTTGGACAACACTTTCACTGTTTAGTTTATAGCATGTGAACTATATTTGAGATGTAGCTTCCTATAGTCAACAAAGTACTCATCTTCTTGCTACTGCAGTGTTGAGTGGCTACTTTGTTCATGAGTTCATACCACTTCCTAGAATGAGAGTTCTGGAGAAGGCTTCTCTGTTATTACCTTTAGACATAAATCTTAATTGATGTCATTCTCTGCATTTCCATATGTTCAACACTGTAAAGTATATGCCTATTAGCTTCTTCTTTTCCTCTTTTTTTCCCTTCCTTTTCTCTGGGTACTGAAACTAAAAATGACCTAATGTTGTCAAGTATGATCAATTACCAATGTTGACTTGATCTCTTCAATTCATTAGTATTATTATGCCTCTTGTCCTTATCCAAAGAAAAGGATTATGCCCCTTGTGGAGGATGATGACAGATTACTTGAAATCAGGTCCCATCTTTCTATTGAATGTTACCTATTGGTGCAAATTCATAATTTATTCTGGTTTTCCCTGCATGTTCCATGAAATATCTCAATAATGCATGTGTACCAAAGTGGATGAACAAGTGCAATATTGTTGCTTGATTTTAGTGTCTTGTAAGTAATCCCATGCATATGAGAGAGAGAGAGAGAGAGAGAGAGAGAGAGAGAGAGAGAGAGAGTAAACAGACCAGTTACCTTTTGCATGAGTATCATTTTTACCAACTTTTGGTATATTCTGGATGGTAATTAATGTATACCAACACCAATTGTTCCTAGAAAAGCCTAAAACTTCCTAGTATTTAGAAAGAAGTGCAGAAAGTAGAAGCAAAAGGTTTATGAAGACAATCCAGAATATTGACTGAAAGGAACGCTAGAAGTTTTGAAGACAAGAATGACAATACACTTAAGCTCAAACAGAATTGTATATTCTTGCTTAGTTTTTGGCGCAACGTGGCTATGGCAAATGTGTTAGAGCCTGCAGCCATGCTTGATTTTCTTTTTGCATTACATTCTTTGTAATGTTTTGCAGCTTTTGCTTGTATTTCTCTTCCAGCATTTTGTTGGCACACTACAATATACATTACCTTGTAAAAACAATAGTAGATGCAAAGGATTTAACTTTCTCTTCTTTGACTAGGGAAATACAGAAACAAAAAAGGATAATTCTTTTGATCTTAGATCTATTAGTTATATACAGAACGTATGAAACTATCTAGGATTAGGAACAGGAACAGAAGTGTCCCGTATCTTCAAACCGATTCAATTCTCTTTCTCACTTAATTTCACCTCTGTGTGGACCAAACATTGTACGCAGAGTAATAGGATAATTTCCCAAGTAGAATGAAAAGAGATGGCATAAAAAGCAAACTTATTTCCTGCATTATGAAGTTATGAGAAGAAAGTTCCGTTCTTTCTCATTTTTTCCTTTTTCCATTATATACTATGTTTCTTTTTTTTCTTTTTTTAAAATCTCAGCAGAGCTTCGCATCTTTTCTTGAAAGGGAAATTCACACACCTGTCTAAATAGAACTTCAGTTCCTACAATATATTGGCATTCATAGCAAGTAAATGCACAATACTGCCTTCTGGTGAAATTGTTTCATCGAATGTGTCTTTGTTATTTCCTTATAAGTATTAGTTATCTTTCACTCATCTTTTCCTCTATATTTACAGCTATTATCATCCTGCATAGGAATTTAGGCAGTAAGAGAATGATTATTTTATGAGCATTTTGCAGGAACCTGATGGCAAAGCAAGACATGTCAGAACTTGGCTTTGGCAAGAACTATGATGCAGAAGCTTCTTCAGATGGAATGACCAATGGAACAATAGAAAAATGAAGATAATAATCCTTAAACTTGTTAATTATTTTCTGGGATTTTTTCAGAAGCCTGAGTAGAAGGTTCTACTACATGCAAGCTTTACTATTGTCACTTTGACAACTTTCACAGTTGCGTACAGGAGGTCATCTTTTTCCATATGTATTCTTTTCTATCCCAAATCCCTTGTCATTATCTATCTCACATCCTTCATTTTGTCACCTCATTTTTCCCTTTCTTCTTGTGATTATGTGTACCTGAAAGGCAAAAAATAGCAAGAGAGAAGGAGAAGGAAAACGATAAGACGAGGAAATGTATGCACATTCAGCTAATGATCATTATGTTTCTTCCTAATATCTTTTACATCTGCAATGCCTTCCATTCTTTCCTTCTCTTGATCAACCTGGAATATTAGGAAGTCCCAACAACGCCAGTGCAAGCAGCTGCTAGTTTGTAAACAGTTTGTAAACTTTGAACTTAAGTGAATTTACTTGTGCACAATCTTCATTTTGATCATTGATGTTTAACTCAAGTATGTTTCAGTTGGACATTATTTAGATCAAAGGTGTATTGGTCACGGACTAATTAGTCTCAAGGATGAACAAAATCACCTATTCAGCTACCAAAATTTCCACTCTATCTCAAATCAACCGAGACTCAGTTCTTGTCGTCTACATTATGGTCCTGAAAGAGTAGGGTGAGCAAATTGGGAACTATTTAGTGCGAGAAATCAATTGGCTGTAATGAACCTGTTGGCATTTTTAAAGTCTCTGTGACTTCTTGTGAATTGAGCTCGTGATGTCACAGTACAACTCTCTATAAAAGACTTTTTCCAGTAAGGAGGTTAAGTATCATCAAACAATAAGTGTTTAAGGGAGAAAATTTGTGGTCATAAGTTCAATTTCTTTAAATTTTTTGCTCCACCACCCAATTTATTGATTTATTACTTTGTGATTTACTCTTCTTCATTTAAACCGAAAGAATTAAAGGACAAATTTCATTAACTTCTTAAATAACAAAAACTTCACTACCATAACCAACAAAGGAAGTCAAGTAACTTAAACTGAAGGAGAAAAAGGCAACTTGGACTGGAAAAATTGAAAAGTCTATGAAGGCGCTCCTGTAATAAATAATTAAAAAATGGTTGCCATAAAAAGTGCTATTTAAACCTCCGCTATAGCAGAATTGACATCATCACCATCATCAGATTCATGAACAACTATTTCATCACGAAACAGGAGTTTAAGATATGGAAGAACTCTTGGAAGCATGGGCAGGTCAGCTAAGTTAACGCTCATCAGATCAAAAGCAACGCATGCTTTGTGCATGTAGGTTTCATCAAATACTGGAATTTTAGGGTATCTTTGGCTGGAGTGAGTGAGGATGACGCGATATGCTCCAGCAGCGTCCCCTGCATCAACAGCTTCCCCCATTGTGCTGTGATTTTTCGCTATAGCCTCTTCCACCATACCATCTTCAAAGGTAGCCTGCAGCAAATGGCCCAGAATAATCAAAACTGTAAATTAATTTTGGGATAGAAGAATTGTTATCGACAGAAAATATTTCAACGTCATTTAGTAACATGCCTCATGTATGAGAACTGTTGCTCCACGAGAGGCTTCAACCAGTTCAGGACAAGGCCTGGTGTCACCAGAGTAAACAATCTTCCAACCTGGTATCGTCTTCCCAGTAACATTAGTCCTATCAGCGGACTTCAGGACAATTCCATAAGCTTGTGGACAGTGAATAACGGGAACACTATTCAACGTCGTCAGTCCTGCTTCTCTGAGTATGTTCTTTAGCCTGCTCGCACTCCCATTAGCATCATTGTCTTCGTTCGACTCAAAAGCCTTCCACGAAGATTCTGTGGTATCCCTACAATCAAGGAACTGCATATCTAGATCCTCGAGCATTTGGTACCAATCAAGAAATATCTCAAGTTTCTGAGGACCTACAACAATTAAAGGTTCATGGGGAGTTTCATTGAGCAAATCACGTCTCAGAGTAAGAATTCTTGTAAGGCCAGCATGATGATCCGCATGAATATGAGAAATCCAAATAGACCTTAAACCTTTTACAGCTTCATCAGCACCTTCAACACCAAATCTGTTTCGGAAAGAGCACACTATATCACACATTTAGGAAAAACCATAAGGTTATGATAGGCTTGTGTTAATGAACTCCCATATTACCTTCTTTTTAGCTGTCCCAGTGTTCCTTCACCACAATCTAACAGAATACTTCCCTTTGAGAAAAGATTAATAAAAATAGAACTAACATTTCGGTATTTTGAAGGCTGCGATGAACCAGTTCCAAGAACAACAATCTCCATATCCTCTCTTGTTATACCTTCCAAACAGCTAGGTAATGGAGTGCCTCCATTTGTTCCATTGTTCCCATGCCACAGTTGGGTAATATGTTCAGAAGCACTCACAATTTCTGGAATTTTCGAAATTAGCTCATCTATGATTTCTGTCCGACAAGTAGTTGCAGGAACACCAGAATTGTCTAATCCAAGATCTTTATATGGAAGAAGATTGAACTGTTCCAGAAAACAAAGTTCATTTTTAAACCAAGCATTAAAGTTAAAACTTGGTCTGTACTTTCTTAGTCTTTTTTCTCTTTTTGATAGGTAAGGAATTTTTTTATTTATATAGAGCATCAATAATTCCAGGTTCTAATATTGGGCCAGAACTATTTCAACCAAACTATATCGGTTCTCACCTTGAGAAGGTTCTCCGCATAAATGAACCGACATGAAGCAGGAGGAGACAACTGAAATGAACAAAATTAAAGTAACTGCTCGATTAGGCAAACATACTCAAGATCCAGTCATTATCAACAGTAAAATTTATTGCTTATCCAAACAGAGTATCAGTAAGGTATACCTCCCTTGGGAACTTTGAGACTGATGGTAGGCCATTCAATTGCTTAAGGGACAAAAAACCAGAAGCAGGAAAGAATTGAGGGCACAGGTAGTTAAGTTTTGCAGCAACTCTTGAACTGGACTTCAGAATTGGAATCTCAATATTCTTCCTGCAGATGGCACACGAATAATCAACATATGACCATATAAACAGGAAAACAAAAATTTATTGGACAAAGCTAGATATGCATTTGAAAAGAAGAGAAGATAATAAGGTTATTTACGGCTCATGTCCACCAAATTTGGTCATCCATTGCTCATATGCAGTTGTATTTGTTACAGATGCAGGGCTAAGGTGTATCAAACAATTTACTTTTTTGCCCATTTCAACGGGCTGCTCAGATGTATTCAGGTAATATGGAGTAAGAGACTGTAAAGATGACAATTCTTGCAGATGAGAGAGTGTCGGGCAGTCAACAAGGAGCACAATAGGACCGGGAATAGAAGGCTCCATAACTTGACACGGGTGAACCTGCACGGCATTATCCTGCAAACGAAGCACCGAACCTAATTATAGACTATAAAGTCCAAGGTAAGCTTTGAAAAGAATCCTTCCAACTTACGGTGCTGTCTAGGTTATCTGACTGCACTGAATTTCCACGTTGCAATTGAGCATATTTTGGCCCAGGTTCCACCCCAAATTTAGCAGCCTTATCTGGATCGAACTTCCCTTTGATCTCTGGAAACTCACAAATATAAACCACCGAAAGCTCATCAGGATTTAACGCAACTTCCTTCACTGAGTCACACACTTTCGAGCAACATGGTCGCAACAGAACAGCAGATATATTGACAACATTATCAACAATGGGAACATAAAGATAATCAAACTTCATTGAAGAAGCAGTAGCAACTTCATCAGATCCATGCATTGAGAGAACACTACATGTAGAAAGCATGGCAGCATTTGGGACGAAAGATTTCATTGCTTCAACCAACTGATCGAGATCCGGGGGACCCCATAAATTGACCTACAAACAAATACTGAACTGGTATCAAATTTTCAAACACCACTTATAGTTCAAGAAATTTTGTTATGAATATATAGCTAGTAAAATAAGCTAATGTGACACTCACAGACATCCCTTCTTTGCCCATCCCAGCCAAAGTCAATAAGAGACCTGCAAGTAAAACGATTGAACTTCTTAGGTGGTTCTTAATCAACTGCAATAAATAAGCCAGAATTTTTTCGAGGGTTGATTTGATCCAGGCACTCAAAAAGATCACAACATATTGTGCTCAATAATAACCAACCTGGGAGTCCACCAGCAGTTTCTGAGCAGACACGTGATAGAAGTATGTCATCAATCTGGGAAAAAAAAAGACACATGTATATTCCCCTAGATCAACGACACGGTAACATACACTATAGACTAGGATTAGAACAGTAAGGTTGTGGATCTGATACCTTTGACAAAGTCATTTTATGCTCTGTGAAGAAGCGTTGCAGTCCCTGGGAGCAGAAGAGCATAAAAAGTGATGCAAAATAAGTTTAAAAGTACTTTTTTCTTTTCTTCCAATTTATCAATCCCTTTTTGACAAAGGAAACAAGAACCAACAAAGAGCAAGAAGGGCAAGGGTGGAAAGCAGTCTGTAGAACATTTCTATGAAGAGGAAACCTACTAGAACAATAATAAAAACATTATTACATCATCACGCGTCCTCACTCATCTACTAAACGTTTATTCTGGAAAATCGAGAATAGGTAGATTAAACGATCAATCAACTATGCCTCAACATGAAACGGAAAATGACTTGAGCAGGAATCTCCTTTTTTAGGACAAATTCATCGATCTATTTCACAATAGAATCAAGACAATGGCCCTAATACTCAATAAAATAGAAATGAAATGTATTGCCAAACTAACAAAATGGAATCACAATAGAACTAAGTTATCCTTTTAGTATCAGCAGGAACAATAAGACAGTTGGGGCTCGCTTGTTTTTTGTGTAAGAAAAACTAATCATAGTTAAGCACTGCATAGTTAAGCACTGCAACAAAAACAGAGAAGTCAGGCGTCAAAGAAGGGGAAGTCAAAGAAAGAGAAGGAGATGGAAAAATTAAAATGTCTAGTAAATTATGAGGGAGATGACAAGCGAGATAGGGGCAGGCACTACAAATCCTTCTCTGGATGAAGTTAAAAGTCTTGAGTTGGAACGTGTGTGGGTTGAGTGGTGCTGGGAAAAGGGAAACAATGAAGTCCCTTCTTTATAAATGGAAAGCTGATGTAATTTGCCTACAGGAAACTAAAATAGAAGACTGTTCGAATAGGCTGGCACTTCAAGTTTGGGGGAATCGGTGGACAGGTTGGGCAGAATTAAAATCATGTGGTAACAGTGGGGGGTGATAATGGAGTTGCTTCAAGCATCCAGAATTGACAGATTCCTTATCTCCCCAGAATGGAATGATAGCTTCAAGAAAGTATCTCAAATTGCTCTTCCCAAAGTCATATCTGATCACAGACCAATCATGCTTGAAAATGGCGAATGGGAGACTAGCCCAACCTATTTCAAATTCGAGAACATGTGGCTGCAGGTAGAAGGTTTTCTTGACAAAGTCAAGGAGTGGTGGCAGAGCTACTCAGTTGTAGGCACTCCAGAATACATCCTGGTCCAAAAGTTGAAACTACTGAAGAAAGACATATCAACTTGGAGTAGAGAAGTTTTCGGCAAAATTGAATCCCAGAGGAGCAAGGCACGGGAGGAATTAATGTTTCTGGACCAAGCTAGTGAGACCAGGCTGCTATCACCCATGGAGCAGTCCAAAATGCTTGATCTAAAGATGGAAATTCAGAATATTGCCAAATCGGAGGAAACATCCTGGAGACAGAAATCTAGATGTTTATGGCTAAGTGAGGGAGATAGAAATACCAAGTATTTCCAAAAGATGGCCAATAGTCACAAGAGATACAATTGCATTGACAGGCTCAAAGTGGGGGAAGACATTATTGAGGACAAGAACCAGATCAAACAGGAAATATTGGGCTTCTATGAAGGCCTCTACTCTGAAGCTGAACATTGGAGACCAACAGCTAACTTTGAAGATTTGGCCTGCATCTCAGAGGAGGAAACGGAGGAGCTTGAAAAAGAGTTTGGGGAAGAAGAAATACTAGCCACCATCAAGTCCTGTGCTCCGGATAAGGCACCAGGTCCTGATGGATTCACCATGAGATTCTTTCTGAAGGCTTGGGTCATAATAAAATCTGATGTCATTGGTGCCATGAATCATTTTCACCAACACTGCCATATGGTGAGATCTTGCGATGCTTCATTCATTGCATTGATCCCAAAAGAAAGGGGGCTATTGAACTAAAAGATTATAGACCTATTAGACTAAGTCTATAAGATCGCAGCAAAAATTTTAGCTGAACGATTGAAAACTGTAATATGCAAGCTTGTTTCTGGGAGTCAAAATGCTTTTCTAAAAGGTAGACAAATCACAGATACTTCACTTATTGCCAATGATATACTGGATTGGAAGCAAAAGAAAGGGGAGTCTGGAATTCTATACAAGCTCGATATAGAAAAGGCATTTGATCAAGTAAACTGGCAATATCTTTTCACTATCTTAAAGAAGATGGGTTTCGGGGAGAAATGGCTCAAGTGGATAAAGTTCAGCATTACATCAGTCAAGTATTCAATCCTAGTGAACTCCAGTCCAGTTGGTTTTTTTTCTCCCCTGTCCCCTTTTCTCTTCATCCTAGCCATGGAAGGGTTGAGCAAAATGCTAGACAAGGCCAGAGAATTACAATGGATTCAAGGTTTTGAAATTGGCACCAATGCTGAAAATACAGTCACTATTTCTCATTTGCTATATGCAGATGACATTCTAATTTTTTGTGGAGCAGAGGTATCACAGGTGCAATATTTAAATCTGACATTGCTTATATTTGAAGTTCTATCTGGCCTCCACATCAACATGATAAAGAGCATTATATACCCGGTTAATGAAGTACAGAATTTGGAAATGCTAGCAGATATTTTATGCTGTGAGATAGGCTCATTTCCAACGACCTATCTGGGACTGCCTTTGGGTGCTAAGCACAAATCATCTGAAATCTGGAATGGAGTGGTGGAGAAATTTGAAAAGAAACTAGCTACATGGCAAATGCAATACTTATCCATGGGGGGCAGACTCACACTCATCAACAGTGTCCTAGACAGTATCCCTACTTATCTTATGTCTCTTTTTCCCATCCCCTCAAAGGTACAAAAGAAACTGGACAGAATAAGAAGGAACTTTTTATTCATTTAGTGAATAATAGCGAATCACACAAGTTTCATTTAGTGAAATGGGGGAGAGTGACATTGCCTAAATCTCTTGGAGGCCTGGGCATCAAAAACATTGTCACATACAACAGATGCCTACTCGTGAAATGGCTATGGAGATATGTGCAAGAGGAACAGTCAACCTCTAAGAAAGTGGTGAATGCAAAACATGGGGTCCAGAGTAACTGGTGAACAAAAGTCTCTAGGGCGGCACATGGGGTTGGACCTTGGAAATACATAATCAAACTATGGGGGGAGTTCAGCTAGAATAGCAAATTTCAAATCAGTAATGGGGCTAATGTTAAGTTTTGGAAAGACAAGTGGCTAGGGGATTCAACTCTACAAAATGACTTTCCAAACCTCTATCAAATAGCAAGCAGACCTGATTCAATTGTCTCTCAGAATAGAGCAGACAATTCTTGGTTTCCAATCCTTAGAAGAAATGTGCAAGACTGAGAATTGGGTGAATTACTTATCCTTCTGGAACAATTGGAGAAATGCATGGTCAATGAGCAGCTTCTAGATAAACTCATATGGGGAGCAAGTACTAAAGGAATATACACAGTGAAAGCAGGATACCTACACAATATTGTTCAAAATGAAATGATGGATAATTGGCCTTGGAAGCTCAGCTGGAAAACAAAATTACCCCCCAAAGTTATATGTCATAGCTGGACTGCATTGAAGGAAGCGTGCCTCACTCAAGATAATCTTTGCAAAAGGAGTATTCCCATATTTAATAGATGTTGCATGTGCCAGCAGGATTTTGAAACAAACAGACATTTATTTTTGCATTGTCCAGTCGCTGCGAATATTTGGAATATGTTCCTTTCGGTTTTAGGACTCAACTGGGTGATGCCAGAGAGTATTAAAGATGCTTATGGTAGCTGGAGTCTATGGAAAGTTGGTAAATCCATCAGCAAGATCTGGAAAATGATTCCTGGATGTATTTTTGGGGCTATTTGAACATAAAGGAATTTGAATAGAAGATGTTTTGAGGGTTTAGCAACTCCAAATTACTCCTTGAAAGCTAATTGTATAGTTTTGTTATATAGCTGGAGTAACCTCTCCCCTATTAGCTCCCCCGAATTATTTTTGGATTTTGTTAGCTCCCTAACACTAGCATAGGACCATCTGTACAGAGCTAACATATCATCTTTTGTATTAGCACCTGGACAGTGCTCTTTTGCATCTTCTTGATGCTTTTTATAATATCTCTTACTTCATCAAAACAAAAAACTACAATGCTTGGTGTTCGATATAAAATCCCGCATTACTTAGATGGCAATTTATGAATTTTTATACGAGATAGAATGTAAAACAAGAATATGTATTTTAGCAATAATAGGATTAAGCTAATTCTTGACTTGGTTAGCTCAATCTTTGACTACTAATTCCCTCATTATTATTCATCGCAGAACAATTCACCATATAATAGTCCAGGCCATATTATTGTTGCATAACTAGAACCAAATGACCCCTTTAGTGTTATTTACATCTGGAAACTTGAAAAATACTTACTTCTCCAACATTAAATAAAAATCTCCGGTTTTCAAAAAAGAGGAGGACAGAGGGTGATGTATCTTGAGTATCCATGCCATTTCCCAGGATCTGTGAGAAATTCAAAGAATCAAAATAAGCTAATTTTTTCTGAGGTGTGAAAAAGCAAGGGATTCAAATAACAAATTCGATTAGATTAATATACACATATGTTAAAATACGTTATAAGCACATACGCCTTCCACTGAATATTCTGACAGATTCAGTGAATGTTATCATGCAAAACTAATAGAAAGGAGAAACCTTTACGCTTTGCCTTTTCTCAGGGCATAAAATAAGTTCACCAAAACCACTTGCATATAATTGTTAGTACTCCCTCTGTCCCAATTTACTTCAAGAGTCAAGCTTCTTAATTTTGACCGTGAATTCGATAGAATCTCTAAGTTTCTTAAAACAAATTTTATATATTTGAAAACTATGCAAAAAGTACTATAAATCACAATAATTAACAACTCAAAATATCTAAAAGGCGTATGAAAAAATCACTGTGAATCACTCTTGAAATTTGTACTCCGCCACATAAATTGGGACGGAGGGAGTACTATATTTTGATTAGCAGGGTTTATGCGCTTATGAAGCAGCGAATCTTTTGACACAAATAATGAACACAAGGCATAATAATAATGTTAAAACACAAAACTAACACAAAGCAGCAAAGTTTATTAGAGAAAGATCTCCAAGGTTAAGAAAAAAGGTTTAGCTTTTTAAATTACAAAAAAAAAAAAAAAAAAAAAACGTTAAGATTGATAGCAAAAACCAGATGATTTTGAGCATTATATTCTGAACAACAGGAAGATGTAACAACTGAAGGTACCTGTACGTATGCCTTTCCATTACCACCATTGGACTTGTTTTGTTCTTTGGGTTGAGGTTTCTTCTTCGGCCTATCATTATTATCATTACCCTCAGCCCTTCTTTTGTTCTTCGTCTTCTTCCCCATTAGAGTTCTGCAGTTGCATGGCAGTTCCCAAAACACAGGGAGAATTGGTTTGCCGAGCACAAGGGGTTATGAGCACGTCAAAGTAGGTAGGTTTTACTTTTTAGAGTAAAAACAAAAATACTTACCACCACTTTTTATAATAAACTAGTATACATACCCGTTGCGCGGATAATTAATAAATATAATCATGAATATACAGGTTTATTAGATAATTATATGATTTAGCATATTGTAAAATATATTGTAAAGCTTACAAAAGAGAATGCTAACTTAGCATCTCAAATGGTTAAATTAGTTAATACTAATAAAAATATCAATATATAATCTTCGTTCATTGTCTAAATTTGTTAACCATAACTTTTAACATTATATAATTATTTACTTTATTTGTTTTACACATTATTCAAAATCATGAATTCCTCACATAATCCTCCCATCATCTTATATGCATTTTTTTTTTACTATAATACTTTCGTTAACTTTTTTATTTAGTATTTTACTTATAATAAATAATAATTTGGAATTACTTATATTTTGTTTCCAATATGGTATATTTAATTTTAGTTTTAGTTATTGATATTACGTACACATGAATTTAAATTATATTCGTTTTCATTTAACATTTATTAAGATTTCAGTTAGATAACCTTATCCGTAAAATATGTTTTGTTGAATCATAATTTAAAGACTTTCTCATAGCAAAATCAAATATGACACACACACACACACATATATATATATATATATGTATATATACACACACACACACAATAATTTTTTAGTCGTATACTTTTTTTCTTTTCTTGTTGCATATATTTTGTGTTTGCAGTTTTAAGTACCTTATCATACGATTATTTTTCAGTTTTTCAGTTTTTCAGTTATGTCCTTGCCCATCATTCCTCTGTTAATACATTATAAATTGATATTTTATATTGCTTAAACCTAAATTATTTTTAT